TTAAGAATTTTGTTGTTTTTATTCATGCATTTAGGTCCTTAATCCATTTTAAATTTGATTTTGTGTATGGTATGAGGCATGGATCCTGTTTGCTTTTTCTGCATGTGGAAATCCAGTTTTCCCACCACTATTGAACACACACCAGCCACTCCTCGGATACTGCCTTGGAAACCCAAAGAGGGGTAGCTGAGTCGGGTCCGACTCGACGGCACTTAACAGCAACAATTTATTGAAAGATTCTTTCTTGTTTCCTCATTGAATAGACTTAGCAGCCTTGTTAAAAATAGATGTATGAGTTTATTTCTTATCTCTCAATTGTGTTACATTGGTCTGTGTGTCTTCTTTTATACCAGTACCAGGCTGTTTTAATTACTACAGCTGTATAATGTTTTAAAACCAGCAAGTGTGAGTCCTCCCACTTGAGAATGGTCCATGTACACTGGAACAGAATGTATATTGTGCTCTCGTTGGGTAAAATGTTTTGTATATGTCTGTTAAGTCTAGTTGGTTTATAGTGTCATTCATATCCTTGTTGATCTGTCTAGATGTTCTGTCCAGTACTGATAGTATTATATTGAAGTCTGCAACTGTTATTATAGTGCTATCTATTTCTTCCTTCAATTCTGTCAGTGTTTGCTTTATATATTTAGGTTTTCTGATATTCTGTTTCTTATATATATTTGCGTATATATTTATGATTGTTAAATCTTCTTCATTTATCACTATATAATATCCCTTTTTGTTCTTTAACAGATTTCATGTTAAAGTTGACTTTGTCTGATATTTTAGATAACTACCCCAATTTTCTTTAGGTTATTATTTGCATGTAGTATTTTTTCTATCCTTTATTTCCAACCTTTTAAATCTTGAGTTGAAGGTGTGAGATTAATTTTTTTATTATTATTGTAACACTTGGTTCCAGAGTTTTCAGAGGCACTGTTATACCATTAATTTCCCTGCTAGAATTGATTCAAGTGTTGATTTTTCTTATGTGCTAATATTCACTGAAATATGTTTTATATGGCATGTGTAGGCATAATGTTGAGATTTCTTTAAGTTTATTTTGTTCTGTGCTATATATCAATTTCTACTGAAATAATTATCAATAGGTATTGTGCTTTTTCTGATATAGTTAATTCCTACACAGGAAGTAATTCAAATTAATTCAACTTTATTTCATGGCTTTCTTTTTGATTACCTGTAGTCACAAAAGGGAGCTCTCTGATAGTGTAGTGCCTAAGCATTTGACTGCTAATCAGAAGGCTGGTGGTTCAAACCCACCTGCCACTCCTCGGAAGGAAGATGGGGCAATCTACTTCCGTAGCGATACTGCCTTGGAAACCCAAGGAGGGGTCGCTATGAGTCGGGTCCGACTCAACGGCATGTAACAACAACATAGTCACAAAAATATAGTGCTTCATGTGTGGTATAGGTCTTCATTTACTAATTAATTAAATATATTTTTCTGTTTGTTCCTTTTTATTCATTAACATGATTATGTCTTTTTTAAATACACTTTATTGAAATATAATTTATGTACAGTGAAATACATAAAACTAAAGTAACATGGGTCAGTGCTTCTTTTTTTTGCCATGTTCCCTCTTCTCCCCTTCCAGCCCTGGTAACCAACAAAGAAAGTTTCCTTCCATATATAAACCTTTCCTTGATTTTTTACAATAATGAACTAATACTGTGTTTGTCCTGTGATTGACTTATGTCACTCAGCATGTCCTCCAAGTTCATCCATGTTATGTGGTGTTTTGCAAATTCTCCATTATTCTTTAGTGTTGCATAGTATTCCATTGTGTGTATGTACCATAGTTTGGTTATCCATTCTTCTGTTGATGGGCATGTAGATTGTTTCCATCTTTTTGCTATTGTAAATACTGCTGTGAGGAACATGGATGTGCATGTATCTGTTCTTGTCCTGGATCTCACTTCTTTAGGATATATACCTAGGAACGGGATTGCTGGGTCAAATGGTATTTCTAATTCTAGCTTTTTAAGACCAGCAGAGTATGAGAGTCTGAATCTCTCCACATCTTCACCAGCGTTTGTTTTCTGTCGTGTTGAACTTTGCTATTGAACTTTGGGCAAGATGGTATCTCATTGTTGTTTTGATTTGCATCTCTCTGATAGATAATAATTGTGAGCATTTCTTAATGTATTTGCTTAATTTCTGCTTATCTGGAAATATCCTAATTTCACCATCATATTTAAGGGACAGTTTTGCTGGGTACATAATTCTTGGTTGAAAATGTTTTTCTTTCAGGCTTTTATATCTACTATCCCTTTGCCTTCTTGCCTGCATGGTTTCTGCTGAGAAATCAGAGCTTAGTCTTATTGGTTGCCCTTTGTATGTAACTTTTTGTTTTCCCTGTGCTGCTTTCAGGATTCTTTCTTTGTGTTTGATTTT